CATATTCATCAGTTTCCAATTGATCTGGAGAATTCTGTTGCTTAGGGAAAAAATGTGCAAGCTGTCTCATACCAAGTCAGACCATTGCCCTCCATTTGCCCAATCCTGTAACTGGTAGCAGCAGTTCCAGGTCTTAGGCAGAGGTAAGCTTTTTCCTAGCTATCTTCTGGGGCTGCCTTTTACCGGGAGGTGCCTGGTCCCATGGACATGCATAGCATGGCCTGTGCATCACTTTGCTTAACATGCAAAGGTTAACCAACTGTCTTATACATGTCTGCACAGTTCAGTGGGTCTTATCTCCAGGTAAGTTGGCATAGGATGGCAGTCCTAAAGCATTAACTTTAATACAGAGTACTTGGATTTAAAAAGAGCAAATTGTTCTTAACTGGAAATCAATTTCTGACCATCCCCAAAAGACTATATATTTAGAACAAACAAAATGTTCTGTGTACAGTGCATAAGCTGGCAGTTGATGGTAGTGTCCTTCCCCTCATCTAAGCTCAATTTTTTTTACTGATGCTGCAAGTTTATTATAGATACCATTAGCTTGCAGCTGTGTGTTGTGTCCAAATAGCTAGACAAATCACTGTCCTTTTTGTATTTTTGCTGAAACCAACAAGTATCAAAGGACTGAGAGAAGAATCTGGCTTTGCCTAAAGGTTAGGCTTTCTGCAGTGAGATCAACCCTTCAGGTGATTTATGTTTTGTTTTGCCTTACTACTCTGCTTCTTGTCCTTTGTTGTCCAAGGTAGTTGTTTGCAAGTCTATTTTTTCCCCATATTTTAGGAGAAGGGCAACTGATGTCAAGAATGGTTCCAGACTTTTCTTGGAATTTACCTTTCCTCTGTACAATGTGCTCTCCCTTTCATACATGCAAACATACACCTTCATATATATAATTTTAGTCTAGGGGCTCATCCCATTGTAAATAAGCCTCTTGAATATTCTACAACTCTAATTTCAGACTTCTTTGGTATGTTACACAAACATGAAAAAATGGCAGAAGATTAATGCGTTCCTGGAGTTGTAAGGGAGCAGACAGAGCTGGGACTGCAACACTAGCAGTCCACAAAATGTATATAGAGGGGCCAAAATCTGAATACTTTGCTGGGGGGCAGGTGAAATTGCCTTGGCGTTGCCTTCCATGCAAGTCCCTCCTTTGCAGGCTGAACATTGGTGTTAGGAAAGTTGGTTAGGGCATAAAAATACTTGTTATTAAAGACACCATCTGGCAGGTATCTTCGATGTATTTCATTCCAGACTGTAGAGCACCACTAGTTGAATAATATCCCTGACATGGTTTTACAAAGAAAGATAATCTTGTTTCTGCAGAGCAAATGTGAAATAGCTAACAATTTGTGCTATAAACTGATAATTGTAAGACGCCCTTAGTGCTGGCTATTATCATAAGATCTGTGACATTGTTTGGCCTAGTTTAGCTCTTGGGTCCAGAGAGTTTCCACTTTCCCATAGCCATCCTCTTGCACTGGACACATTCCACTTCCTGGACTTATTTCAGCAAGAGCTTTTCCTCCCTGCATATTCTCTAAGGAAATTGTTTGATTGGCAGAAAATATAATAGATGTGAAACAAGATGACAAAAAACTTCTTTAGATAGGAGAAAGGAGTGATGTTCCATTAAATATTGATTAGTGAAGCAATCTAATGGCTGCTGCTTCATTGGTGTATAAAAAAATGTGAGAGACTACTCAGAATCTTTCTAATGGGGTTTGATTCCTTCCAAACAAGAGCTAACGTATTGGACAGCTACTTAGAGGTATCTGCTGAAAAGGGTTGGAAGTGCTTGCTCTTCCATGGTTGGTGAGCATGCCTCACTGTTTCTCCCATGAAGGTAATTAGTAATTAATGGTTCTCTGGAGAGTGTGGTTGCAGGTGTTCAGGGTTGTTATTATTTTTAACCCAGACAGATTGGCTGAGCATAGTCAGAAATGATCAGCTACATATCTTGATGGCTGCACTCTGTGCTGCTGAAACGTTGCTATGTATAAGGCAGATGTCTACAATAAAAGGCTATTTATTGCATTGAAGAATTCAACATTTTAATATTTTTAAACTGTCATTATTAACAATACATAGTAGCAAATACCCTAAATGACTTGACTGTTTATAAAATATAAGTAGATAGTTTATATAAGTATATCACTTATATGCAAATATAAGTAAAAACTTCTGATGGAAAGGTCTGTGCACATTCAGAAGCTCCTATTCTTCTTCTTCTTGGGTGGATTTTAGACTGGTGAAAGAATCACATCCATTTGTGCCCATTTCATGGGTGAAAGGGTAGCTAGGAGGCATATCAATTATGCTATATGTTTATGATGGTTAAGACTTATTATACACCACCCTACTATCTGTAAGTGTGAAGAGTGGTTTGCAAATTCCTTTAATAAATGGAACAAATATGAGCTATTATTATTCTAACATAAAGACCTGATTAGCAACTGATGGATATTAGTTAGGAGTTGTCTTCTCCTACCTATCTTCTTGCAAGATTTTAGTTATCTATTGAAATCTTTCTTAGCATCCTTTGTGGGTTGTAGTATAGATGACTACATACTGTATGCATGTACCTTGACAGAAAGCAGAATAACCAAACGCTACAGTATATTGGCATATACATGCAAACCCAGGAACCGTTCAAGGAGAGCCAGTATGGTATAATGGTTAAGAGTGCAGGACCAGAATTCGAGATCTGGATTAGAGTCTTCATTCCACCATGGAGTTAACTGGGTGCCTTTGGGCCAGTTGCATCCTCTCAGCCCAACCTACCTCACAGAGATGTTGCTGTGAGGCTTCACCTTTGTGCCTCGCAGAGGCATTTGCCTTTTCAAAATAGATCTATGTCCCTTTCCCACTTGCTTCTGAATAATGCTGTTTGGACATTCTGGCAATACTATTTCGGCTGAATGTGAAACATACATGTGCTTTTTAAGTGATTTTGTGACTCAATTAACTTTGATCATGCTATTTGTTAGTGTGATCAGTAACAAAATAGCCAAGTGATTACAATATTACAGGTAAAGATACGTTCTCTCCCCACCTCAAAGTGGCTCACTGCCTGCCTGCCAGATTTATTTATTACATATTTATACTGCCCAAGAACTGAAGGCAAACAACAAAAAATAATCATGGTACTTTAAAATTAATGGAATGGGTAGGTAAAATATTTATATACAAAGAAGGAACCATTTACATGGTTTTTGACCTTGTGACAACAACTGGTGCTAAAAATATTAGATGGAGATAAAAGAGAATCTGTCCTGTTTCATCATTTTTAGATCATTGCTTCATTCCTTCACTTGTCCTTTGTGTTGATCAAGGCTTCTACCAGAGTAAACAAATTGACTTCCATAAATAGAGTAGTTAATAAAAACTTAAATATCAGTTTGCATTGGGACTAAAACTTTTCTCTAAAGTCGTATTTGTATTCTAATTAAAAGGCATGTCTCCCAATGAGGTTTAGTTTCATATTTTGCTTGCATTTCTATAATAGAGTTTGGAAGAGATAACAGCGATTCCCTTCTTTTCCCCTGAGTCTGTTACAAGGTTATAACCCTTTTTCCTTACTCTTTTTGGAAGCCAGCTTATCTGTGTTAACAGCTTAAAGTTCTCCCACACCAAGATGATGTGTGTTCCTTATGAAAACTGCATGTTATTTATCTTTGCAAGCACTAGTCCATTTGCCAAATTTCCTGAACCTAGTGTTCTCAATGGACTATAGGTCCTAACCATTGAAGGCACCACATTGGTGAAAGCTGCAATGCACTAAAAGTTTGTTGTTATTGTTTGTTTATTTGAACTTTTAAAATTAATTTTAAGCTGCCTTTAAGGGTAAAACCCACTTAAGGCAGCATTTGTGAACAAACTAAACTATATAAAAGTACGAATGGGCAATAAATGTACAACGAAGTTCTTACAAAGTTCTACACAGCAGATAGTGCCAATAAACTGTGCAGCCCACAGATTACCAAAAGGCTAGTAGAAACAGGTGGGTCTTCAGCACCATCCTGAAGATGAGCAAAGGCGAGCATATAAACTCCTGATGGAGCTGATTCCTGAGGTGCAGGGCCAGGACTAAAAGGGCTCTTTCTTTTGTATCTTCCACCCAGCCTCCATGGTTGCAGGAACATAGGAAAGCTTCTGTTGTTGATTTCAATGAGCTAGCTGGCTGGTATGGGAGAATGTGAACTGGGAAGTAATTTGGGACCAACCTATTTAAGGGTTTAAAAGTTAAAATCAGCACCTTAAATGAGTTTGGAAATGCTCTGGCAACCAATGCAGCTGATGCAGTATTGATGTCATATGGCCAGCCCCTGCCAGTCCGTGTAAAGATACCTGCATTCTGGTGCAGCTGATGTTTCCAAAGCATCTTCAAAGGTAGCCCTGTTACTGTCAAACAGAGCATGAATGAGTTTAGTGGAATCCTCCTTTTACAATGTGTTGTAAAACAAGCTTCCATTGCTTGTTCATACTGAACTAACTAGTATCTATATTCAAATGTAATGTTTGTTTTTTAACTCTTGATATATGGCTTTTGAAGCATTCATATTTTTAAAGTCTTATACTCATCCTCAGTATCCAAAGTAATTGAATTATTGCTTCTCAGGAAGGAGAACATGTATACTATTTATAGCTATCCTAAAACCATGTATAGAATCTACACTGGGAAAAATCAGGGTCTGAGTTTTCTCCTAGACCACACCCTTGCTCAAGCATGATTCCACAGATTTAAAAGGATATGTGGTGGATGTACCATCATTTTCTTTTTCAGCACTACAAGGGAAATACAACAGATTTTTTGTTTTAAGGATAAACACCCAACAAATAAGTTGTATTAAGACACTTGCTGCATCACTTCAAGTTGTCATATTCAAAAATGAAGAGAGCTAGCTAGATGTAGGGCTAGTGACATAAATGGTAGAACCATGAGGTCTTATTCAAAATGTGAAATTGAAAATGTGTTTGTATGTTTGTTTTAGGAGAGAGCTATGTGTGTGGCTCAATAGAGCCCTTCAAGAAGCTGGAGTACACAAAGAATGTAAATCCTAATTGGTCTGTGAATGTCAAAACCACCTCCGCTTCCCGTGCGGTGCCCTCTCTTGCCACAGCCAAAGGAGGCCCTCCAGAGTCAAAGGAGAACAAGGATTTCATAAGGCCTAAACTGGTCACCATCATCAGGAGTGGTGTAAAGCCGCGTAAAGCAGTCCGGATTCTGCTTAACAAGAAGACGGCACATTCGTTCGAGCAGGTTCTCACTGATATTACTGATGCCATCAAGCTGGATTCGGGAGTAGTCAAGCGCCTGTATACACTGGATGGGAAGCAGGTAAGAGGATTGTTTGAGCTGCCATACGCAGAATTATGACTAGGATATAATACGGATGCTGTTCAACCTGTATTTCAATAATTAAATAACTGGGATTCATAAAAGATGGATTATGTAACCAGAATCTATATAGGCATCAGTAAGATGTGTGTCAGTGTGGACAACTGCTATACCATAATTGTTGGAGTTGTTGAATATGAAACAATTGCCCCCCCCCCCACAAAAAAACCCCCTCCTTGGTCTGAACCGCTTTTTACTTTTACAGCTTTGAGCACGTTGGCAGTATCTCTGTCTCATTTTCCCTTCTAGAGGAAAATGTAACCTCTTAGCAGCCTAGACAAAACAAAAGAGCAGAATTCTTTCCTGTATTTTCTAGAGGCCAGCTTGAAGTAGGAGTGCATTTAACTGTTTCTTGCACTGCTTCTGCATGTTTGCTGGCTGTTCTGTCAAGTCCAGAATAGACTTTCCTCATAGGGTAACAGGTTTCTGTAAACTCTTTTTACAGAAACAAGCTATTTTACAATAGCTTGTTTATTTTTACCTAAATGTGTCAAGAACCAACTTAATGGCAAAATAGCCTGGAAATAATTATGCTAAACCCCTCAAAACTGTTAACAACTTTCTCTACTTCGTCTGGACAGATCAAATGAATGACAATGACTGTGGCTTTCTGTATGCCCTACTGGTATAACAGTGGCCACAGAAAACATGCGCAACTGGAGTGATGGACGTAGCACAGTCTGTGCCGGGACTGATGCAGCTTCATGTAATGTATTAGCTGGGTGACAGTAGAACACATCCAGAGTTCCTTGCATTAAGTCATTTGCATTAAGTTCCTTGCATTAAGTCAATGCAACCCATTTCTAACAAAGCGATAGGTGACCTGAAGATGAGACACCAGGCTTACAAGAGGATGCCTTCAGACCATTTTCAAGGCTACAGTTCTGTTTTATAAAAGCTCTGGAAACATTATATCTGCTTGAGGCAATTTTCCTGATGCTCATTTTCCTCTCTTGCTTACTGAATGCTGTGGAAGTGGCAGGGTCTGCTGCAGGACTATAGCAGGCAAGGGAGCAGGAGAGCTGTGCCCCTTTGTCTGGAACAGAGACCACTGTGTCTGGAGAGTAAACAAAGCTGCTTAGCAAGCAGAAACGTCAGGCAGTGATTTTGCACTCAGCAGGAGTAACCTGTTGGTCAGCGCTCTCTCACTTGCTCGCTCTCTGTGTTGTGTGTGTGTAGGAAGTGATTGATTTCCTTGTGACTTAAGCAACTGCTGTTCTGATTCCTTTGCCAGAGTCCCTTTCCTTTTAATGCAGCATTTGAAGTACAAGGATGGATTTTTCTCTCTGTGTGTTGCTTGCTAAACTCCATGCTGTGCATGATTAAAGAGAGGAAATCCATGGTAAATCCAAAAGTTTGTTCCACTTGTGCATGTAGTTAAATTCCCATCTGTGGCTCTTTCAGAGCATCTAGAAAACTCAAAAGCTCTGCTCTGAGTGGCTAAGCCTTAATTGGAGATTTCTTAGATCAGACTTTAAAGTTTTTAAGCCTCCTTGACTAGAAAGTGTAATTTTGTTTTATGAGGATCAGAGGATAAAGCTTTTCTAGTACAATTATTCTCCTTTTAAATACAGATTTGAGCATAAATGTTTAGAGTAAGTATTTAAATGCTACTGTCACTCTTTGCTCTAGGTCATATGGGAGTCAATGTGGTATTTAATTGATTGATTCCAACCCCCTTAAGGGCCACAGACTCATGTCTCCTAATAATATTTGCACAGAATATGTTGATTTTTAAGTGACCTCGAATACTTTAAAAAATTAAGTCAGTTTTATTGTTTGTTTTATAACTTTAATTTATTTAATTAAATTTTAAATGCTACATGGTTTTAACAAGTGACATTTATTGTAAGCTACCCAGTGAGAGAAGGCACAGGGCATAAAGTCCATTAAATAAGAGCATGACATTCTAAAATGTTCTTAGATTTTGCTTAGTTTACCTAAAATGTATTGGCTGACTTGTGTTTGATGATCTGTTGCTTCTTTCACTTGTTCAAAACAACTCCTATAAGACTGTGTGTTCAACAAATATTCTCCAGGGTGAGTTATGGGTCAAATCAAACAACACATTAATATATACAAAATACTATGGCTTCAATTTTTGGGTTTAAAATGTACTGCCTGTATTTGGTTCATGATGATAGAATTTATACCTTTCATAATTCATTAATGATCAATTGTCTACCCTGATTTTCTCTAGGTGTTCTGTTTAATCTCTAACTAAAATTAAGCTCCCTTGACTACCTGATCTAATCTAACCTACAGGTTTTTCTCTATTCTTGTAGGGATAGTCAGATTAATTGATTGGTGATATACCCCTTAGTTATTGGCCTCCATCTTAGTGAATTTAAATGAATTCTAAATCTCACTTTTTGACTTGCTTAGAAATGAATATGTTTTAAGAATGCCTATCACTTATACCTAATGATGCAGGATTTCTTGAACGTGAAAATTTTACAGTGCTCTAAATGAGTTCTACTACTTCTAGTAATGTCCTGTATTGTTTCAGGACAGTTTCTACATATTGTTAAATGCGGCTTTATTCTTGTTTCATTGTTAGTATGAACCTGCTCGCAATGTACCAACATTTACAAGCTGTCTTCCTCCGGTGTTCTCACTGTAGTGATGCTACGTGGCAGTCTTCTTGTGCTTTGGCATCATGCTTTAGCCCAAAGTAGCCACAAGAACTAGATGATAAATAAATGCAATCACTCCTGGCTTCTGGAGCTCAAGAGCTGAAATGATGTACTTCTCTGAGGAAGTGAAAGAGTAACTACACTCTTAATTTTAGTTAATTTCAGTTTTGCTTCATCTTGTTACTGGGGAAACTTAGCAACAGAGGACAAATATAACATATATAACCCTGGCTCAGATCTAGTTGCATTGTACACAGGAAGGGCTTGCTATACCTTATTTTTCAGTTTGCCATGGGCAACTGAGTATTCAGGTTTGTTAATACTTGTCTTAAAAGAATAATTTATCAAAGTTTTTATTCCATATTGGCATGATTAATTGCAATCCAGCAGTCCAGAAGATTATGGATAAATGCAGACATACATGGTATGGAAAAATCCTCCCCACTCCAAAGAAAGCAACTTACATCACTGCTTATACCTGTGTATCCTATCCTACCACAACATCATTGATTCTGATCATTATTCATTTTTGCAGATGATACCCAATTTGCTTTTGCTCTTCCAGCAAAACCCCCTAAAGCCTCTTTGAAGGTTAATACAGGGTTTGCTACAGGGATACTTTTCCTTGATGAAATGTTGGCTTCTGAGAATTTTAATCAGGATTTTCAATGGGAACGAGCCCTTGAAGTTCAGCTACAGGACAAAATATTCCTTAAGGACTGTGACTTCACAGTCCTTCATGTACAGAGTACATGAGGATGGAGAGAGAGCTATAAATAGTGAGTGTGAAATTGGCAGAAATAGGAGAAGTTCATAATTTGGGGGAATGTAGCAGCAGGCCATAGCATTTTCAAGACTGGTAGAGGAGGATAAGACTTTGGAAGCAGAGGTCAGCATAAACTCCTTAAGTTGTATTGGCCTTCCTGACTCTCTCTCTGGTTATGGAGGATTTGGTTTTTCTATTTAGTGCTGCATCTTGGAAGCTTTGACTATGCAAAATTCCTCTGAGGCTTTAGGGCTTAATGATATAAAGATATTTACTTGTCCAGTGAAGGGAAAGCCAAACCTCAGTTTGAACTATTTTTAATTATCTTTTGACTTGGGCTAAGCAATCATTTTTCTTAAAGCTGACAGGCTGGAAGGGCCTTGGGGCAGATAATAGAGCAGTAAGTAATGTCTTTGATTAAAAGGGTAGAAGGCATCATTGATCAACTTACAAACACATCTTACACTAGAAATAGCAGGAATCCCCCTTCATATGTGTGATCATATTTATAGGGACAAACAAGATCACACACATTGTATCAATCATTTATATTACAGGCCACCTTTAGAAGAACAATCCCATATTGGCATATAATTCAGGTTCTAGAGAAGAAATGCAGATATCATAAATGTGACTGCCACAGAAGCAGTTACGGTGGTACAATTCAGTGGACCCATAACATTCCAGACTGCAACTAGATACAAGATATGTGGAATGGCTGGGCATATTAAAACATTTTCACCTAGCCCTGGAAAAATATTGGAGTCGGTGTGCTGTGGAAGGTTTGGTTATATATCTATCTCTATATGTAGATATATATGGCTCTGTGACTAAGAAATTTCTCTACCTGCTTACCATCCACCTATAAAAATCTATAAAGTGTAGCAGCTCCTCTTGGTGGCATGATAGAAAAGGCAGCCTGGTTCACCTTGCAACTATTTGTAGGATTAGTATTGGACCTGTAGTAGCTTGCAGGGTTAGTGGTAGTTCTTTTATGCAGACCAGCTAGGACCCATTGGAGGCCCTCTAAAAGACCTCCCAGTCCTGCTCCATTTTGCCATGACAATGCAAGTCTTTGTGGTGGCTGCTTTGTGTTCCTAGCTCAGCTTCTTCCACTGGACCCGTAGTGGCCTCACTTGTGTCTTCACTCCCACCTGTTCCTGGCTCTGGTCTTGCCTTTGGTCCTGCCACACCCTTGCCGGTTTATGACCCTTGCTTGCCCTGGACTCTGCTTTTTTCTCTGGCCCTGCCATGTCTCACCAAGTACCCATTCCCCCCTTGCCTGAAGTAATCCTTGGTTCTCCTTTCACCTTGACCGTCCTTGGTCCCCATGTTCCAGTTGAGGATGCCTGCTGCTTGCATCCTGGACCTGACTCCAACCCAGTTCAGTTGGCACAGTAACCTGGTAACTCATACTGGATCTGCTTAATATTACTGCAATGAAGCACAGCATATAAATATCCAAATAAATTAAAAGTGGACATTCAAATAACGAGCTACTAGGGCTTTCTACATAGAAACCAGTATCTTAATTTTTA